GTCTCGATGAGATGTTTCTAAAAAGTGGTCATCATGACCATGACATCACAATAGTCATTTCTGATGCGTTGAAAGCTTTCAAAAAATGTCTCTTTCTCAGCTTAATCGAAAAGGACATTTTGGGGGGAAATTTGTTAGCTAGAAATTCGACGCTCAAGGTTGAACAAAGACAATAGAGGTCTTTTAGAGAAATCAAGAGTATTTAAGATGTTGTTCAACGAAGATAAAATATTGGTATTTCGACCAAAGTTTTAGTGAAATAATACGAATTTGAAGTGAAGCATTTTGGAAGATGTTTAAAGCGAGTTCGACAAGGATAATTTGAAATAAGGCCGAACCTTTGATTCTTGGCGCTTATTTCATTATTTTGAAAGGAGACGCGTGGAAGTCTGTGAAGGATGGAACACATGCAAACAAGAATGTGTCCTTATCTGAAGAAAAGATCGTTCGTGTCGAAATTAGTATAAATAGAGTCTTTAATTTTGGATTTCTTTGTGTTTAAATATTATACAAATCACTCAAAATCACTCAATGTATCAAAGTTGACCGAGAAACGAGTTTTATGAGAATGTACGTATGAAACACCATGTTTATTTTCAATGTCAATTTGTCTTTATCAATATCATTTATATTCCATTTAAGTTTCAGTCAAATTTGCTTTATCTTCCTATCATTTTTATCAATAATTTCTTTACTTCTTTTAAATTTACATTCACTTTCGAAGAAGATATTTTGCAAAAAACTTAGAACAAAAGAAAACTAAACACGTTGTCCTAGGATCAATCTAATCGATCCAGTAAGTAACCATAATTGTTAAACTTTTGGAAGACTAGCAGTTGTTTACCAAATTTCACGGTAAACAGTATGTAAATGTCCTTATTTGCTATTTTAGCCAAGTACGTCTTATTACCTGCTTAAGGTGTATTTCTTTTCTTTTATCATAAATGATGTATTACTTTTAGCCGTATCCTTCATGATATTTTCGAGCTGGAGGATTGTCCGAGTTTAATTTTATCCATGCAATTCGTAAAGTTTGCCTTACATGACCAACATTAAATATTGTTTTGCTTAAAGCGTAAATAACCTTAAGTACTTTGTAAGGCCGTGTATGGTGATTTGTTTATGAGCATGGTTGTGTTAATATGTACGTGATTTATTGATAAGATGCTACCCGACTTGATATATCTGTATATTGGGTCATGTTTATAATTGTACAACATGAAACTGGTAGATGCGGCTATGTTTTGAGTCACACTTGTAATAATATGGCATAAGATTAACTAGATGTGACTATGCTTTAAACTGTATTTTGTATCACAGAGGATCATTCCCCGACCAAGGGTAGAGAATTCCCGTCCTTGCCCATGAGTTAAAGCTCTGGTTGAGGCGCACGTCTTCAGGTTCCACCTCTCACGCCCCTTAGATGGGCTAGATCTAAAGGGGGGGTGCCAGCTACGCAAAAATGTGTGTAGTCTTTGACTAGAGGGTACTTGATTGTTATAGTCGGACGTGCAAAACTTCTTCGACATCTCCCTTGAATTCTTTATCATGGGCCTCAATTGTGTTGGTTGTACCACAGTTTCGTCATTACTGCATATAATCACAAATTAACAAACGTCTCAGGCTTTGTATAGTTTCATTCATAATGAACAATTATTTGTGTATGCTTCCTAGCAATTATATATATATATATATATATATATATATATATATATATATATATATATATATATATATATATATATATATATATATATATATATATATATATATATATATATATATCGTACTATATATATTGTACTACATATATTGTACATCCTAGAATTTTGGTATATAACTCGGATAAGGTCGGGTTGTACACCAACAATTTATGAATGGTGTAATGATGGTGTCATAACCTATGTATATTCCAGATTTATTCCTTGCCGGGTTGGACTTCCCGTTTCGGGCTCTAGAAAGCTGTATCTGATAGCGTGTTTCTATTACAATACCCAAAAGGCCAGTCAACAGTCATGAATTCATTACAGATCGTTAATGAAATATGTTACAAATGGTTAAATGAGTATGTTACTTTTCTTAATGTCCATTAAACGCTTCTACGCTATAAAAGGGAAGAGTCTAATATAAAAAGAGAGCGACCGATGAATCACATAAAAAAGAAGGATGCAAGTGAAAACCTTAGACCACCAACAATGGTGGCCATTCATTCTGTCATACCCCAATTTACCCACACCTCATATGTTTTCTAGTGCCACTTTATTTTAAATAAATGAAATAACACATTTGGTAGGAGAGCATTTGGAAGGAATACACGTGAGATGTCTTGAGTTCGAATCACACCGTTCCCATTTTAATGCATTTCTCTCTTTTTATTGTTTTTATCTTTATTTCTATTTTATTTGCAAAAATCACAAAAATAGCATTTTTTTTTCATTTTTTATTATTAATTTTCATTTTTATTAATTAGGATTTTTTTTAAATAATTACTTTTATTTTATGCAATTTTAGTCCAAAAGAGTCAAAAATCGTTAAAAAAAATAAAATCTTTCACTTGTTTTCTATTAGTCGTTTTATGTCACACCGATTTATAGTCACGATCTCATACTCATTATTTTTGCAATTGCCTCATGACCTTCCCATTCTCCTAATGATTTTGGGGATAACTATTCTTGACCAGCCAAAAGTCCAATACAAAGTCCAATACATATAAGGTCAAAACATCCAATCCAACAACTCAAAAGTCTAAATAGATTTATCCGTCGTACATAATTGTCACACATGGGACTTAATATATACTTTTTTGATCTCATAATTTTACTCCATTCATTTTAAATTATGTAACTGACTTGAACCTTGTAGTGTTAAACTTGAAGGTCCACTCTGCACGTACGAATAAAAAATCAGCATCTCAACATTAAGAGTCCATTATCGCCAATTAATCACTATTTTGATTCTAATATATAACATTATTGTTTCTTTCTCTAAAAATAATAAATATACTAGTATATTTATTAAATATTATGAATTAATTTATTGACAATTAATATTGTTCTCTTATTAATATTTCTAGTTAATTGCAAAAAAAATATGAAATATATAAAAATATTTTGTGAAGAATTAGTTAATATAATTAAAATTAAAAAAAGAACTCTATAAGAGACATTTTTTTCAAGAAAATTCTATATTTAATAACAAACATAATATGTATATCTATTTTTGATGTTATACAAATATTTTATGAAAAATGATATTTTACCGTTAAAACATACACTATATCATATTTATTATTCACCAATACAATAAATACTGTTTTATTAAAAATAATTATTTTTTTCAAATTTTTTTATTAAGGTGCGCTGATATAAAAATTATGTGATTAACTAATTTGATCACTTTATTAACTAATATTTTATATTTTATTGATCAATTTTATTTTATTATTAATTTATTTTTTATATCTGAGCGTTTATTAACTAACTTCATTATTGCATTAACCAATATTTTATATTTTATTAACCAATTTTATTTTATTACTATAACTTATTTTTAATATTTAGGCGTTTATTAACCAATTTTATCATTTTATTAACTAATATTTTACATTTTATTAATCAATTATCTTTTATTATTAAAAATTATTTTTTAATATCTGAACGTTTATTAACAAAATTATACATTATATTAATCAATTTTTTTACATTTAGTTAACTAATTTCTTTTATTATTAGACAGTTTACTCTTCACATTTTATTCACTATTCATTTCACTGTTAGTGGTATTTTTGAACATATATAAGTGTAAGAATCAATAGCTAATGTTTTATAGACATCAATTTTTTTCTATAATGCAAGTTTTAGTAAATTACATGCAAAATTATAATTAATGTAATTGAATTAATTATATAATTAACTTAACTATAAATTATTTGAATGATTTATTTAATAAGCCAAGTATATATAAAATAAAAAGAAATTATCAAGTATAATTAATATGATTATTGTATAGAAAAAAGGAGTATCAAAAAACATGTATGGAAAGTAGAATTTAGAATACAGAAAAGCGTAGGAGTGAGCGAAGACGGAGACGCACGTCGTGTAGAAGTAAAACCGAAGAAATAGGCGTGACAACTAATTGAAAAAACAAAAAAACAAAACGGCTAATCTCTACTACATTTGGTATTTAAATAAAAATAAAATCAACTGTTATTATCATTGCAACAAAAGAAGAAAAAGCTAACAACAACAGTAACAATAATATGATTATATCTCCGCTGAAAATTGCAGCTCCCTCCCTCCCGCACTTCCATTTCACATGATTCAATTCATTCATATTCCTTCATCTCTCAGATCTGATTCACTCTCTTTCTCTCTCATTCATTCAACCTTTCTCTCTCTACTCTCACTGTAATCTCTCTCTCATCTCTTTTCTTATGCTTTGTGAAAATGTGAAGTCTCTCTTTGAATTTGAAGTTTGAATTTCAGATTTTGATTTTCACTTTCTGTAACGAAATGCTTTTGATTTTTCCTTTTTTTTTTAAACTTGTTCTGTATGTTTATTTATTGATTGATGTTACACTTTCTGTTTTTGGTAATTCTCATAACTGAACTTCTCTTCGCTTTAACAACGACTCAGAAATGGAATTAGGTTTTTGTTCTATCTTTTTTCCCTTTTTTAGTAACTTGCTTTGCTTATAAACTACATAATTCATGCTTACAACTTAATTATTCTCTTTACCGAAGGTCTTGTATGCTCATAAATCATACTCGTGCATGTTGATTGATTCTAACCTTTTTCATTCTTTTTGTATATTTAGGTGCATAATATTTTGTTGTTGTTGAGGATTTTAGGTTTTGTAATTCATAGTATAGTATTTCTGAGAGGCTTAGGAGTTTAGGTTTGAATAAAATTGGACATGTGTTGGTATTGGTGATTGATTTCACTTAACACATGAAATTGTTTTCTGGTAAACTTGATGTGCACAGACGGTTAATTAGTTCATGGCAAAGTCGAGGCAAAAATCGTCAAACCAGGATTCTTCGATGTCGCCTACTGCTGCAAGATCAAGGGAGTCGGAAGGTCCATCTAGATGGGCAGATTATCTCGGAACAGATGCAGCTTCTCCACTATCTTCTACGAGTTCAAGGAATTTAGGTCATGATGGGCAGTCCCAGGGCTCTACGCCGTCTCAACCTCACAAGGGTCTTAACATGCAGTGGGTTGTGCAGCTTACTGATGTTGCTGAAGGTCTTATGGCTAAGATGTATAGGTTAAATCAAATTTTGGATTATCCGGACCCCATCAATCATGTGTTTTCGGATGGATTTTGGAAAGCTGGGGTATTCCCTAACCATCCTAGAATCTGTGTTTTGCTCTCCAAGAAATTTCCAGAACATTTCAGCAAATTGCAACTAGAACGTGTAAGAAGTCGTGTCTGATGTGCTTTATATTTTGAATGTTAATTTAGGCTTCTGTGATATTGATTATTTCGGAAGAATATGGATGCAGATAGATAAGATGGCTTGGGACTCGATGCAAGATCATGCAGAACTTCATTTACAGAGCTTGGAACCATGGGTGCAGGTGCTATTTTTAAACTTTTATTTACTGATTTTCCATATGCCCTCCATTCATAATCCTAGCAGTTAATTGGAGCTTTTTAGTATTCTCATTTCGGTATTCTCTCTGGAGCTTTTTCGTTTATGTAACTTTTTAAACTTGTGTGGCTTGATTAATACTCCCTCCGTTTCAAAATGATTAAAGGACACAATTGGAAAAATAGCAATCATTTCTACATTGAAAAGTGATAATAACATTCATTTTGAAACAAATTTTATTTGCTAAAACGAAGGTCATTTTGAAACGAAGGGAGTATGGGTTATCAGCACTGCCCAAATTCTACATGTAAATGTCTTTCTTTACTCAATTTACTGCACGAGTAGATAGAAATCTGAAATTTTGAAATTCAATTCCAGTTTTGTTTCATTTTCATAGTAGGAAAGGTAGAACTCAAGTCTGTAAATCTGAAAATCTGAAAGCTTGCACTCAAGTCTAAAAGACTAAAACATGTAGTTTAGAATTAAAACTGATACTACACAAGGAGACACAGAAACCTAGAACAGAGACCCAAGGGAATTTTTTACTCTACTGAACCATTACACGTTAATAAATGCCTTTGAATATACTAACCTTGGGTACAGATGAAATCCCATCACCTTTTATCTTAATAATTTCCCCCCCTTCTGATAGTTGCTTTATATATAATAATAAGATAAAAAAGACAAAAAAAAAAGTACTGCCAAGTGCCACAGAATACCTACTTCTAACTGTTTAGGTTTCTTGGACCGCTAAAAAAGGATTTTTAACTCCGTGCTTTATGTACCAAAACAATTTACATAGCCAACCATGAATAAACACTAAACCGCAGCAGTTGACTTATGAAAGTTATGTTTCATTGCTTTGCATCTGATGTTTAAGTTGATTATTATTTGGTTTCTATTTTCTCTCGTTTGCCATTTATTTGATGCACATGTCATGTCATCAATTAAATCTAACTTTCACAAAAATGGGCTTTGTATGCTTCTCCTTAATCTGCTTTGGTTGACCTTAACGAGATAGACTATAGGTATGATTGTCGTTGTAATTTATGATTTTGATCATTCGATGATCTCTATTTATATCATATTATGTCACCTAAAACTGCCCGTTTATGCATATGTTTTAGATTTTCAATTCAGCTGCATGTTGGCTAAACTCACATGATAATGATTCTTTGGTGTAACAGCTACTTCTTGACTTGATGGTGTTTCGTGAACAAGCCCTACGACTTATTTTGGATCTAAGTAGTACAGTAATTACTTTATTGGTGAGTATCAATATTGTTGCTCTCCTATGATTTGAGTTGCTTTGATGTTACAAGGATATTGAAAACTGGTTCGTACATATACACACCCCTATATGATCCGAGTTAATAAGACAGAGAAATGGGAGTTATGTCAAATTTTATTGAAAAGTGATTCAATGAATGTATCTGAACGTGTCACCTCTATTATTATTGAAAATGTTAGTTTTTTTCAGGTGAAGTATGTGTTAACCTGGTCTTGTTTTTTTCCCATCCTAATACTCCACTGTTTTCTTTTATTTTAATTGTCCCTTATTTCCTTTCTAAAAAAGACTGACTCGTGTACACACCGATTACTGTGCTATGTTGAATCAAATATTGAATCAGAAATGGGGCATAATGAATTCTCTACCCACTGTGCTATATTGAATCAAATATTGAATCAGAAATGGGGCATAGTGAATTCTCTACCCATTTTTAACCCGTTCTTCTGGAGTTCTTTACTTTAGTGAAATAGCTCTAATGGATGTCCTCACATTTAAAAACTACAGTAATAAATAATTACTTTATCTTTTCTGCATATCTCAAATAACTAGGCAGTGTTTTGCAGCCCCATCAGAATTCTCTTATACTGCATGCATTTATGGATCTCTTCTGCTCATTTGTACGGGTTAACCTTTTCTCCGAGAAGGCAAGCTATCTTTCTCTTTTATTTTCTTAAAATTGTTCATTTTATGAAGAATAAAATCCTTGTTGAAATAATATTTTTGGTCAAATATAAATTAGCAGTATTTTTGAAACCAATATTTTCGTAGCAGATGCCAAGAAAGATGTTGCTTCAGACCTATAACCTTCTACATGCAATGTCAAGAAATGAACGGGATTGTGATTTTTATCATCGGTAAGATGTTCTGGTTCTGATAACTTCTCTTAAATTGCTCCTCTGCTAAACAATAATTCTTAAGTAGGCTTCTATACATGCAATGTCAAGAAATGAACGGGATTGTGATTTTTATCATCGGTAAGATGTTCTGGTTCTGATAACTTCTCTTAAATTGCTCCTCTGCTAAACAATAATTCATAAGTAGGCTTCTATACACTCACAGACTTAACATGCTGTATGATATAGTTTTTTAAAGAAAAAAAAATTCCTTTTATTTTCATCCAAAAAGAATATTATTAACATCTGCGCATCAAAATGTCTCAAACAATGCTGAGGGGCATTTTGCTTGTGCAGTTATGCATACATGGACTTATCTTCCTGGAGAAGGATGGGTGAGAGACAGATGAAGATTCCAATTTATTCTTAGTGATTGTTTTGGTAGGAAGAGAAGAAAGGAAAGGGAAAGGGTTATAATAAAATCTTTCCTTGCTTGGAAACATTTTAAAACAAGGAGAAGAGTTTGGGGAATATTTATTAACTCTCAAACACAACAACGTAGGAGTCTATCATCTCTTCCTTCCCTTTCCCCTCAACCCCATCCCTTCCTTTTCCCTCCCAGCTGCTTCCCTTCCTTTTCCCTCGCATCTTCCATGCTGGTCTCATTGTGCAATGTTGCAGAGCTACCAAAACATAAGTGACAAGGCATATAAGAACAACTTGATATGGAGAGAAATAGGGGTTTTGGTAAGCTACAATTAACATATACAGCCTACACTAAATAATGAATAGACAAAATGTACTTTAACCTTCCATAGAATGTCATTGATGGAGAGCCGCCTCAAATGACATTCTTGAATAGATGTTCAATTGCAGCAATATGTTTGGTGAAGTACTTAATGCAGAGATAGTAAATAGATAAAACTTATTTACAAAAACATGGTTAAGGGATGAGGTTGAAGTAGGAATGAGAGAATTAGGGTGAGAGAGTCACAGTTCTAGTTTTGGATATCTATTAATTCTGGTATGAAAATATAGTATATGACAATTTAGTACAAAATCTTAGGTGAGATTTAAGTTTAATCATATATTATTATTATGAAGCCCAATCCACTATACAACTCCTATCTTTAATCACATCATTATACAATAAAAGTTTACATACTATTACTAGTTGTTAAGAGTCCCACATCGGATAATATAGAGCCTGAACATGTCCTTATAAGTGGGGGCAATCCTCACTTTACAAGCTGTTTTAGTAGGGTTGAGATAGGCCTAACCACATTTCTTAACATGGTATCTCTCAAAAATTAGGGTAGAATGAATTGATTTTTTTATATCTTTTATGCTGAGAATACATCAGTCATATATACAAGGATAGAAAGCTATTTTAGGAAATACAATAACACTTAAACTATCAGATCCCTATGATTCAGAGATATTTCCCTCATACACTATAATTGTAATCTGCTAAATAAGGAAATAATACAACTAATAAAACACTGATTCTGACAGAAATAATACAGCTAATAAAACAGATTCTAACACTCCCCCTCAAGCTGGTGAATAGGTATTTTCCATTTCCAGCTTGGAAACAATCTTCTCAAAGTTGTTGCTATTCAGCCCCTTCGTTAGAATATCTGCAAGGTTGTCTTGTGAGGAGACATATGGAGTGCAGATCAGGCCACTGTCTAATTTTTCTTTGATAAAATGTCTGTCAACTTCAATATGTTTGGTTCTATCATGCTGAACTGGGCTATGGGCTATGCTAATAGCAGATTTGTTATCACAATAAAGTCTCATTGGTTCATCCAACTTTATTCTTAAGTCTTCAAAGATGATCTTCAACCACAATAGTTCACATATCCCTTGTGCCATTGCCCTGAATTCTGCTTCAGCACTGGATCTAGCCACCACACTTTGTTTTTTACTCTTCCAAGTCACAAGATTCCCTCCAAGGAAAGTGCAATATCCTGTAGTCGACCTCCTATCCACAATCGACCCTGCATAGTCTGCATCTGTATATGCTTCAAGACTTACACTCCTATTCCGTTCAAACAGAATTCCTCTGCCTGGGGTCCCTTTCAAATATTGCATAATTCTTAGTGCAGCTTGTATGTGAACCTCCTTCGGTTGGTGCATGAACTGGCTGACTAGACTCACAGCGAATGCAACATCAGGTCTAGTGTGAGATAAATATATTAGTCTACCAACTAGTCTTTGATACATTTCCTTGTCAACTGCAGTATCTTCTTCTGCATTTCCCAACTTCAGGTTTGGATCAATTGGTGTACTTGCAGGCTTGCATGCTGTCTTACCAGTCTCTTTCAACAAATCAGTGATGTATTTCTGTTGAGATATGAAGATTCCCTTTTTAGAATGAGCCACTTCAATTCCCAAAAAATACTTCAATTTTCCCAAGGTCTTAATTTCAAATTCCTAGGCTAGATGTTGGCTTAACAGTTGTTGCTCCTCCTCATCATCACCTGTCACTATAATATCATCCACATAAACCAGTAACACTGTTACTCCCCCTGACTTAGAGTGTTTAATGAACAAAGTGTGGTCTCCTTGACTTTGTTTAAAGCCTAGACCTATAATAACTTTAGTAAACCTACTAAACCACGCTCGTGGTGATTGTTTCAGCCCATACAATGTCTTTTTTAGCTTGCAAACAGTGTTGGCAGCGGTTTTTCCACCATATCCAGGGGGCAATTCCATGTAAATCTCCTCTTCAAGTTCTCTATGGAGGAATGCATTTTTAACATCAAATTGTTGCAAGTTCCAACCATAATTAGCCGCTAGGGATAGTATCACCCTAACTGTATTCATTTTTGCAACTGGAGCAAATGTTTCCATGTAATCCACTCCATAAGTTTGAGTGAATCCCTTAGCTACTAACCTTGCTTTATACCTCTCAATGGATCCATCAACCTTGTATTTTATAGTACATACCCACTTGCATCCTACTGATTTTTTTCCATTTGGGAGAGTAACCAAATCCCAGGTGCTATTCTTTTTTAATGCTTCCATTTCCAAGTCCATGGCTTGTTTCCATTTCTTATCAGTCAATGCCTCAGATAAGGAGGTAGGTGTGGTTGTAGTGTTTAGGCTTGTGAGAAAGGCTTTATGGGTAGGTGAGAAGTTTTTAAATGATAGGTAATTGGCTAGAGGGTAAAGTGGCTTGGTGATACATTTACTAGTCTCTTTCCTAAGGGAAATTGGAATATCTAGGTCCTCATGAAGTGGTGCTAAACTGGATTCGGGTTCCTGTACAGTGGAGAAATCAGAGATTGATTCAGTGGAGATTAAAGGATCAAGGGTAGTTATCTCATGTAATGTTGGGTTGGATTCTTGGACATGGACAAATTCTGGAATGGCCTTTGTCTTCTTTGTATAAACCAGCTTTTTCCCAAATCTTACATCAGCTCCATCTTGAGTGGACTTAGTGGGTTGAGCCTCTTTCTCAGAAGTTGCCTCCTTCTCAGAAGTTGTTACACTTCTAGGCCCTACTTCTGGTCCTAACTTAAGTCAGGGAGCATAAGGAGATCATCTTCCTTTCTTGTATTCTCCCCTTGAAGAAGATCTTGGTGGAAGTAACTTTCTTGCTCAAAAAAGGTGACATCTCTGGACACATAATTTTTTGGATGGTGGGTGATACCATGTTATAATCTATTTTATTAGCTGTATTATTCTGTCAGAATCAGTGTTTTTTAGTTGTATTATTTCCTTATTTAGCATATTACAATTATAGTGTATGAGGGAAATATCCCTGAATCATAGGGATCTGATAGTCTATGTGTATTGTATTTCCTAAAATAGCTTTCTAGCCTTGTATATATGACTGATGTATTCTCAGCATAAAAGATATAAAAAAATCAATTCATTCTACCCTAATTTTTGAGATGGTATCAGAGCTCTCAAGTTCTAGGAGCCACCTCTGACTGCACAAACCAAAACCTTAGACGACAGCCTTCATTGCTGCCAATCATCCTTTTTTAGTACAACCTTCATTGTTGTCCATCATTCCTTTCAGGGCAGCCTTCATTGCTGCTGTGATTTGCAGTGTTGTTCCTTTGTTGTCATCGCAACAATCAAATACTTCCTCACTGCATTGAGGTTGTTGTATTGCTGTGGCCATGGCAAACCCAACTCATGAAGTGGTGCAGAAAACTCAGGAAGAGCTGCAGAACATCAACACTGCCTACCGATTGAATGGGAAGAATTACTTGAAATGGTCCCAGCTTGTTGGCAGAACTTTGAAAGGTAAAGGGAAAGCTAACCACTTGACTGATGACGCCCTTAAAGAAGGAGACCCCAAATTTAAAAAATGGGATGAAGAGGACTCTATGATCATGGCATGGCTATGGAACTCAATGATCCCAGAAATCACTGATACTTGTATGTTTCTTAATTCTGCAAAGGAGATTTGGAAGGCCATGGAGGAGTCATACTCTAAAGCTAAAGATGCTGCTCAAATATATGACGTGAAGGTGAAGACTATGGCTGCAAAACAGGGAAATAAGACTGTTACAGAGTACGCAATCAACTCAAATCATTGTGGATGGAGTTAGATCACTACAGGGTCATAAAAGCCAAGTGCCCAGCAGATTCAGCAATGCTCAAAGAGTATATTGAGCAAGATAGAGTCTATGATTTCTTGGTGGGGCTTAACTCTGTTTTTGATCAAGTGAGAGCCCAGATCCTTGGAAAAGAAAAAGTTCCAGGAATTAATGAAGTAGTAGCTATGGTCAGAAGTGAAGAAAGAAGAAGGGGAGTCATGCTAGAAAACCTAACCACGGAAGATTCAGCCATGGTAGCTTCTGGGGCCTCGACCATGATGGCAGACTAGAAAAAAGGGGGGCATAAGTAATATGGAAAAGAAAGGTAAAGGAGTGTGGTGTACCTACTGCAACAAGCCTTGCCACACTCGTGACAACTGCTGGAAGCTGATCGGAAAGCCACCTAGTAGAGAATGGGGGCCCCAAAACCGAGACAGGGAGTGGGGAAAAAAAGGAGACAACACAAGGGAGGACAAGCACACATAATTGCTGCAACCAGTGAAGAAAACAAGGGAGGAGTGATTCAACTTAACCAAGATGAAGTAGAGAAGATGAGATCATTCCTCAACAAGTTGGATAAACCAACAGGTAGTTGTTCTCTAGCATATTCAGGTACGTTTGGTGAGTTTCTTCTTTCCTTTGGACTTAATTCCTCAGATAAACACTATAACCAATATTGGATACTGGATTCTGGGGCTACTGACCACATGACACCCCTACCTAAACATTTCTCCTCTTACACCCTTTGCCCTAGCAATAAGAAAATATCCACAGCAGATGGCACTCTGATGACTGCATCAGGTCAAGGAGAAGTTCAAATAAGCTCATCCAAAACCCTTAAAAATGTCCTTCATATTCCTAAACTATCTGTCAGTCTGATTTCCATAAAAAAACTCATAAAAGACCTATCATGTAATGTTATTTTTTATGACAATGCTTGTATACTGCATGACAAGCACTCGGGGAGGACGATTGGACATGCTAGAGAATGGAATGACCTTTATTACTTGGACAACCCGAATCTGCCACCAGACCTACAAAATAGCAACTCTTTTTTCTCTGACTCAATAAAGACCAACAGGGAGAAAGTCCTCCTACATCATTGTCGTCTTGGACATCCTTCCTTTAGTCATAAAATTGTTATTCCCTTCTCTTTGTAGCAAATTAGATGTGGAGAATCTTCATTGTGAAGTGTGTGAGCTTGCTAAGCACAAGCGTGTACCTTTTCCAGTTAGTAATAATATGAGCACTTTCCTCGTCTATTTAATTCATACTGATGTGTGGGGTCCCTCAAATGTCCCAAATGTTTGGTGCCCGTTGGTTCCTTACCTTTATAGATGACTGTACTCGGGTCACATGGGTTTTCTTACTAAAACAAAAGTCCGAAGTCAGCTCTGTGGTCCAACATTTTTTCTCCATGGTAAAAAATCAATTTGGTGTTAGCATTAAGAGGATTAGATCCGATAATGCCAAAGATTACTTTAATCATGAGCTTATTTCCTTTTGTCAAAAGGAAAGTATCATTCATGAGTCATCTTGTGTCAAAACACCTCAACAAAATGGGATTGCTGAGAGAAAAAATGGACATCTACTAGACCAAACTCGGGCTCTTCTTTTTCAACATAAGGTTCCTAAAAGGTTTTGGGGGGAAGCTGTTTTGACTGCATGTTATCTAATTAATAGACCACCTTCTAGTATTCTAGCCTCAAAAAGTCCTATGGAGGTTCTGTCTTCTTTCTATCCTAATGTGTCCACATCCAATCAACTTGTTCCAAGAATATTAGGGTGTGTATCTTTTATCCATGTCCACAATGGTGATAGAGGTAAACTTGATCCTAAAGCCTTAAAATGTGTTTTTATAGGATACTCATCCACACAAAAGGGATATAAATGCTATTGGTATCAGAGCATTGATACCATGTTGGGGGGAGATACTAGGAGCATTGATACATAGTGTAGGACTAAGCACCTTTGTGAGACACACCACTTATCCACCTAAAACCTTAAGGTAATAGGTGAGTGGGTTCTCCCACTTATATATGCTCAAGTCTCCACATTCCTATCTAATGTGAGACTATTTCCCCACTTACTCACACTTGTTATATTATTCCAACACTCCCCCCTCAAGTGTGAGTCCACAATGCTCCCCCACTTGTACCGTCATTGACATCTTGCAACGGAACACCACTTCCTAGGCGCATTTCGATACAAGTCTCTTCCGGTCCCTTTCTCGAACCAAAGACTCTGATATCATGTTGGGGGGAGATACTAGGAGCATTGATACATAGTGTAGGACTAAGCACCTTTGTGAGAGACACACCACTTATCCGCCTAAAACCTTAAGGTGATAGGTGAGTGGGTTCTCCCACTTATATATGCTCAAGTCTCCACATTCCTATCTAATGTGGGACTATTTCCCCACTTACTCACACTTGCTATATTATTCCATCAGTATCAGAGCCTCGTTTAAGATCCGGTGGACTACCTTCTATCAGGTTTCCACTATCGGACCATCCACCATTTATTTCCGTGCTCCAGATATCCAGTCCTAGACGTGAGGGGGTGTGTTAAGAGTTCCACATCGGACAATATATAGCCTGAATATGTCCTTATAAGAGGGGACAATCCTCACTTTACAAACCGGTTTTGTAGATTTGAGTTAGACCCAACCACATTTCTTAACATTAATCAAATTTTCGTGAACAAAGTTATAGCAAAATGGAGGGATGAGGTTGTTGAGAAGTTGAAGTTTGAAGGTTAAAGTTGGTGTCTTAGGGATGAAAATGATAAAGATGTTAAAAAATGGATTTTATGCTAGCGTTAATGAGATTCTTTTATGATAATTTACCAGTCACAATTTCTTGTTTGAAAACAAATATTCATCATTTCCTTTTATGTTTCTTTCTCTACTTTACAGCTTGGTACAGTTCATCGACTCTTATGATCCACCACTAAAAGGCTTACAGGAAGACCTAAATTTTGTGAGCCCTCGAATTGGAGAGGTTAGTCACATTCTTTTATGTGTCAGTATGATATAAATAATTGCGAAGGTCATAAGATAAAAATAATGAGTAGATTTTTTAGTGTTATGGCTATTTATTTTCCTTCCTAATAATGAGCATATATAACTCGTTTGTCAAGATCAAACTTAACTTATTTTTCTTCCTAATAATGAACAAGGATTCATTTTTAGACCACTTGGTCATAAAGCTTCAGATACCACTTTACATACCAACCATGAACCATCCAAAGAGCTTAATCTATTTGATGAAGATGCATGAATGGTTTTTATATGATATCTTGTGTAGTGAAGGGATTTCTTAGTTAACGTTGTTTCTGCGTAAATGACTGTATTTGGCAAATTAATTTCATGTCGTTAAAGTTTCAATAATTTTTTTCAGGTATTGGAGGCTGTAGGCCCTATTATATTTCTATCAACAGACACAAAGAAACTTAGAAATGAAGGATTTTTAAGTCCATATCATCCTCGGTATCCAGACATACTCACAAATTCTGCTCATCCGCTGGTAATGTTAATTTTTGTTTTAAACATATTGATATTAACATCAAGAATAAATAACTGTGTACTACAAAAAATATACTGAGTTACTTTTTTCACTCAACGCTGCAGAGAGCACAAGATCTTGCAAATGTAACCGCATATCGAGAATGGGTGTTATTTGGGTATCTTGTCTGCCCTGATGAGCTGCGTCGTGTCACTAGTATTGATATTGCTTTGGTATGGTCCATGCTCATATAACTTAAACCATCTATCCATATAAGAAATTTATATTTGATTTTTTCTTTCCTTGTATGCAACTTATTCCATATGTTTGTTTGCTGAGGCAAAATAGCTGCAGAGCCATTATTAACGCAAGATAGCCTTAATACAATGTTTGGTAGCGTTTTCTCTGAAAAGTATAAACCATATATGCCCAAGCATAAATACTAGTATTAGTGGCTGATAATATGGGAATGGGAGAGTATTAGTGGCTGATAGAGATATGGGAAAGGGAGGGGTCTATACGCGTTTTTATTTCTTAAGCTCTCATTATGCATGTACTGATGATTTGAAGTTTAAATACATCAAACTAGATAATTGTTCTTGCATGTCTTGAGGTGCACGCCAATATAATATGGGCAAGACATAAAATGAAAATGAATGAACCATAAAAGATAATGGCAGAATATGGAATTGGACCCCTACAAACAAGAGATGAGATATCTTTTTGAGGAAGAAGCATGCTTGAGCTCCAAGTAAAAAATCATTAACAGGTTGATCTAATTCTTCAAAAGAGTTAAGTTGAGCTTAAATGTTTGTGAGAGGAGATTATCTTACGAGATGCTATAGAATGCTCAGCTTTATTCAGGAATATAAAATGAAAATGAATGAACTCTAAAAGATGATGGCAGAATATGGAATTGCTCTGCAAAAGATAAGATATCTTTTTGAGGAAGAAGCATGCTTTGAGCTCCAAATAAAAAATCATTAACAAATTAATCTAATTCTTCAAAAGAGTTAAGTTGAGCTTAATGTTGCTGAGAGGAGATTGTCTTACGAGATGCTATAGAAAGCTCATCTTTATTCAGGAATATAAAATTTAACATTTTATGGTGTTAAGGGCTCGGGTAAGCTGTTCAGAGGCATGGAGGTAGTATACTACCAATTGTGAAATAAAGTAAATAGTAGTATAATTTTTTTGTTCTTGTGGCATGCTATACTTCTACCAAGTGGCTTAACCAGAGCACGAGAATTTGCGAATGTTATTATTTTTTTTTTGAAATAAAAATGATACTCCTTCCCACCAGTCATCCAAAATGGTTAAGAAATGATTTTATGCAAAACTTTTGTGGATTATTAATAATTCCAAGCTTCAAACTTACTGATAATTTTGTGGATTATTAATAATTCCAAGTTTCAAACTTACTGATAATTTTGTGGATTATCATTATAGTTATGGAATGTGGATTATTAATTATGTTAAGTTTGGTCATGGAATTTCAGGTTGTATTGAAGGAGAATTTAGTCCTCACATTATTCAGAGATGAGGTAAATTTTGCCTTTCTATTTTTGAGCAATGTCTTTTATCTGCAGTAGTTGACAAATTTCTAATCATCAACATACAGTACATACTTTTGCATGAGGAGTATCAGCTGTACGTTCTACCTCGAATATTAGAATCTAAGAAGATGGCAAAATCCGGACGCACAAAGCAAAAAGAGGCAGATATGGAATATAATGTTGCAAAGCAGGTTGAGAAAATGATAAGGTATATTGAGAATTCCTATTTAAATGTAATGTATTTTTATGTATTACAGAGACAAATGAGGCCAAGATAGGCAAATCTAAGAAATTGTCCATAGTTATTCAGTTTGGTATTTTCAGTGGTTTTGTGACTGAAATCTAAATTATCTGCCGATGATTCTGAAAGCAGTTATGCATTCTACACTAAGAAACAAAAACAAATCAAAGAATTTGTAAACTGAATTGTTTTATGCCAAGAAAGGCTGCAATTGGTATTGCTGAGATCCCTCAATGACTAGAGATATAGCTAAATTAGTCCTTATAAGGCTTGGATAATCCTTACCTCTTGAGTCAGCTTTTAGGGTTGAGTTAGATTTAGTCCACAAATTGTAAGATGGACCTTCGGTCTAAAATGTGTGAGATATTATATCATGTTATATATTATTACAATTGACAGTGGTAATCTCATTAGTGATTGAATTTTTCAGTGAAGTGCATGAACAAGCATTATTATCTTGTGATGCCATACATCGGGAAAGGAGAATTTTGCTGAAACAAGAAATAGGGAGAATGGTGTTGTTTTTTACTGATCAGCCCAGTCTATTGGCCCCCAACATTCAGGTGCCTTTGTTTTGGCATTTTTGAACCATAAAAACATGCTGTATCTGACAATTGTTGCTGAAAATTTTCTTATGTTTTCACTTATAAATTTTATAGGTTCACTTGAACACAAGTACATATTATTAAGTGGCTTCTGCGATTTCGTTTTATTAAGTAAGAAACTGGAAATCTCTGGGAAAAAGTCTTGTTTTTGCTTTATAGTTTAACAACATTTGATCAAGCAATTAGCTAATATTGTTCAAAAAGGGTGGTTTAGGAGTAACTGCTTATTAACTTAAACAACCATGTGGTTTATTGTTCCTAAACCAATATTTTATAAATACTTATTTAATTTTGCAGTTTTGGAAATTTTAATTTAAATTTTATTGTTTTAATGCGTACATGGTTTCAATTTCCAAGTTGCTGCTGAAACTTTTGTTTGTAGTCTGATGGTGAAGATATGTCCCCTTCTTTTATACTTATAGCTCTGTTACTGCTTTTTTGATTTTATGATGGTCCTAAGGCGAGTTTCAGTTAAAATTGGCATTCTTATATTTTGTAAATACTGTTGTGAAGCCCTTCATATTCTTGTCATGAAGAGCACACATTTAGTTCTTATATTTTGTTAGTGTGGTTTGTTGAATCCAATGTTAACTTGTGATAAGAAGCTTAAATAAACAAAATGCGTGCCCATATAAAATTGACTTTCATCCACTCACATACCCAAGATATATTTAATATCATGTAACAAAAATACTCCTTTAATCTTAACCAAGCTGTCTGAGAGCTAAACAAGCCTGATATTATGCTCATGCTCATATTTATTAAATGAACCAAACTTAACAAAATTGTGATCCCAAATGGCTTGTTAGAGGTTTGTTTGTTTACATGCTTCATATATATTCTTAAACTTGTCTTCAGTTGGCTCAATATCAAATTATGGGTCTGTTTGGATTGGCTTATTCGAGCTTATCTACTGACATAAGTTTTGTGACACTCTTATGGAGACCTTATCAAAACAGCTTATAACATTTTCTATAAACTTTATTTTATTAATACTTATTTAATTTTGCAATTTTGTAAATAGCTTATTCATAACTGTTTATTTTGATAAGTACTTGTGCTATAAGCTGCAAATAAGCTGTTTATCCAAACAGGCCCTATGTCTCTTTTTCATGGGAGGTTGACCATTCTTGTGTAGCTTTGATGTTGGTTGTGTATTTTTGTTTTAATCTATATTTTCATGCATCTTTAAGTTTTCAACATGTTGTTTATGAGAGGATACCTTTCCAGATGGTGTTTTCTGCCTTGGCTTTAGCACAATGTGAAGTGATCTGGTATTTCCAACATGTTGGGGTTGCATCATCAAAATCTAGAACTGCTCGTGTGGTGCCAGTGGACATTGTAAGCACTTTTTTTCATTAGCTTTTTATGATCTAACTGATGCTCTTTTGTAATCAAATTACTGAATTAGAGCTTTCTAAAACTATTTATTAGTATGCTAATGTTTTCATCTCAAGATTAGTTTTTTTTTTTGTGTGTGTTGGCTGTGCCATGCGGGCTGGAACAGTCAAAACTCAATGAATTCATAAAACTCTATCTAGGGTTGAAAATGGCAAGGTAACGGGCGGGAATGTTCTAAAATGGCTAAAAATGAAGGTCTTAGGGGGAGATAAGAAAGGAAACGGCATGAGTATGAACTACATGTGAGGAAGGAGAAAACTCAAAAAGTGCTGTCATTGGATGAAAAACTCTTATGATGCGTTTTTGAGTTTTCTTTTAGTATACTCTTTGAATCTATTAATAAGGTGGTTGACCGGACTTAAATTTATGATGACGTTGACAGGACCCAAATGACCCAACCATTGGGTTTCTATTGGATGGAATGGACCATTTATGTTGCTTGGTTCGGAAATACATTGCAGGTTAGACTTACTTTATGCATATTAATTTTTCCCATGATGAGGGATATGATATAAAATTACTATTTGTAATCACTGTCAAAGAATGTTAAAAGCATATCTCCAATGAGTGATACGTTGATAAAGATATATCTTTTACTTGTAAACTATAATATGCTACCCATGTTTTAGGGATTGAGATATTAATAAAATATGTGTAAGCTAATAGCTGTTTCATTTTATTGCAGCAATTCGAGGTTACTCATTGTCTTATCTTTCATCCTGTGCTGGAAGAATCCGGTTTTTGCTGGGAACCCCTGGAATGGTGGCTCTTGACATAGATGCTAGTTTGAAAGGACTTCTTCAGCAGATCGTCCACCACCTTGAGCACTTGCCAAAACCACAGAGTGAAAATATATCTGCTATCACTTGTGATCTGTCGGTATGGTCATCCATTCAGTCTTTTTCTATGATCTTGAATATGGAAATTTTATGCCTTCCACACGTATTACAATTTATTATGAACTTTGAAATAAATATACTTGCATTGAGCTAATAATCATATCCAAGTTACCACTTTTGTGTAGAAGTAATGCTATTCATTAAAATTGGCTAAAAGTATCATTGGTATGGTAGAGACTAAAGTTGCAGAGTCCAGCTAATGTGCTTATGCCTGTAAAGATTGTTTGTTCACTAGAGCTCTTTTAGTGTCAGAATCTTAGTTTTTCTCCATCCTGCTATCTTTGTTGTTTTACAGTTATTAACAATGTTATGTTTGTGTGAACTTATCATTTAATGATCTGATATCTTCAGGATTTTCGAAAGGACTGGCTATCAATTTTGCTGATGGTCACATCTTCTCGTTCATCTATAAACATTAGGCACTTGGAGAAAGCCACAGTTTCCACCGGCAAAGAAGGCTTACTATCAGAGGGGAATGCTGCTTACAATTGGTCCAGGTTTTCTTCCTTGATTTTCATTTGCTTTGATATGCTATTCTGATACTGTTGAGTAATTCAATAATTAAATACTTCATTTTTAACTCTAAGAGGGCTGAGGGTTTTTTTTTTTTTTTGGGGGGGGGGGATATAACATGATGTTTTTCTAATCTACTTTGGATAGAGCACTTCCCCCCTTTTCCATTTTGGATAGTATTTCCCCCTTTTCCATTTGATTGAGTTGATTTGATAGCCTTCTTGTGTGAGGGACTGTATGATTTGTTACCGTTAGTTTGCCAGATATTCGTAGAGACTGGTCTCTGTCTTTTTGTTTTCTAGGAGGATGTCTTCTCTTTTATGGAATTCTTGTATATATGTTACTAATGGTGGGCCTTCGTAGAGTATTGGGTTTTGAGGTTATAGTTTATGTTATGCATTAGTCATGTGCAATATGTGTAGAAATATTTACGGAAGCCTGACAGTTGAGCTAATGCTGCCTGACAATATTAATGAGAGTAAAAAACTAGAAGAGATAATAACAGTATCATGATCTTGATGCAGATGCGTGGATGAATTGGAATCCCTACTTTCAAAGCATGGTAGTCTTAGAAAGCTGTACTTTTACCACCAGCACCTCACAGCTGTGAGTGCCTTATTCCACCCTCACCTAATCCAGTTTCTCTAGAATGACGTTAGTTAGTTCTGTGCTATGATTTGAGACTTATGTTTCAAATTCTGAAGTCTTTATCATTTCTCTTCATTTTAAAGCCAAATTATGCTCCTGTAATAGGTTTTTAGAAACACTATGTTTGGCCCAGAAGGGCGTCCTCAACATTGCTGTGCATGGCTTGGGATCGCTAGTAGTTTTCCAGAGTGTGCATCTCCTGTTGTTCCAGAAGAGGTAAAAATAAATCCACCCCAGCTGTTTTATACTGTGAATTGTCATGTGCTGACTAAAGTTCCAAAGCCACCAACTGCACGCTGTGATGGAGCTATACTTTGCTTCCTTTTTTTCTGTGGTGCTTTGCTGCTTTGTTTAGCTTACTTGAAAACTTAATCTGCAAAATATTTGCAATTTTTCATTTTGGTGTATATTTTTTTATTTAAAGAAAATGATGAATTATGAAATTAGAAAAACAGAATTCATGGTTCATATGGATATGTTAAAATTGGATGATTTGCACTTAAGGCCTCATACAACTTTTGTACCATTTTTTACCCTTTCAATTGAGTGTGTGAAATGTTCAATTTAAAGTTTTGTAATCATTGTGTGTTTTGATATCATTGCCAATCCAAAAGTATCACATAAAAAGTATAATGAATTGCACTACCTTGTTGAAGAATGAAACCTTATTTCGACCCAAATGTCATATTAGCTCTTTCACTGCTGCCTGATTGATCATTACTCATTAGATGTCATGGAACATGTGAGAAATATAATGGTTACTGTATTTTGAATTTCCAAGCAGGTTACGAAATTTGGCAGGGACGCTGTTCTCTATGTCGAATCTCTGATTGAATCCATCATGGGGGGATTGGAAGGATTAATAAATATTCTTGACTCTGAAGGAGGATTTGGGGCCCTAGAAAATCAGGTAAATACTTTTGTTAACAATTAAGCTCTATTTCTAAAAACTAACACTAAGGTTTCATCAGCTTCTTCCAGAGCAAGCAGCTTCATATCTTAATTATGCATCAAGAGTGTCTATTCCATCATATAAATCTCCAAAAGGGACTGCTGGCTTTCCTTTACCTGGACATGAAAGTTTCCCTGAAAATAATAGTTCGATCAAAATGTATGTCATACTCATCTTGTGTTAAACGTATATGTGTTAAATCTCCAAAACGTAATTATTGCTTTTTAATGTCCCTGCTTTTTCTAATGACAGGTTAGAAGCTGCAATGCAGAGGTTGACCAATTTGTGCTCAGTTTTAAATGATATGGAGCCCATATGTGTTTTAAACCATGTCTTTGTTCTGAGAGAGGTTAGGGTGCATCTTTATCTTCTAAAAATATATATATTATGTAGTGCAATGAGTTGTAATGGGTCTCAATATTCGGTCAAATTGCTATATGTTCTGGTTCTAGTTGCCATTGGAGTATTAAAGGGATTCGTCCCCACCTCCCCTGTCTTTTAATGACATGAATGCTAATTCTGCCTTTTTTTATTTAAGAGAAGATGAAGTTATATCTATCAACAGACTTACAAGCTATAAAGCAGAGTCTGACACGGATACCAGGACACGACACGGATACTCTGACACCGATAATGTCAAAAACATAGGACACCAATGCCGTTACATGTGTCATAGTATTTGAGTTTCATTTATCCATCTTTTACTAAAAGAGCTAACATATTCTAATAGAAATTAATGTCTTCAATTCTTCATTGATAATATTGCTTCAATCCATGCTTAACCCTTTTAAATGTGTGAGATTTGTCCAAAACATGTGTAAGATATGTTGAAGCAAGGAAACAAACATTTTTTTTGAAAAACTTGTCTGAGTTGTCCAACATGTATTCTAAGAATGTCATACGGGTGTCAAGACTGATTCAAAGAGTCTCGAAGCAAAGAAAAAAACCATTTTTTGGGGGACATTTTTCTGACTTTTCTAACACTTGTCTGACATTTTCGTGTGCCACACCCACACTTAGTGTCGGACACCGCGACACTCCTATTCTGAGAGGTGTCCGTGCTCCGTAGCTTACAAGTGCATGTGCTAAACTTGCATATAAAACGTGCCTGAATTGAAGTTGTAATAAATTAAGAAATAAATAGTTGCTTGTATTTACTATATAACTATAATCCATTTGGAGTTACATCCTCTGAAATTGGGAGAAGGTCAAAGTGGTTACCTTTCACTTTACTTTATATATTTGAAGTTATTGATTTGATTAGTGTAATTGATTCTGCACTTCACTCTTACCGACCATCCCTTACATAGAGGATCCAAATTTGACACTGTTTCAGCTAGTAATGGATCAACCCATATGTCACTCCCACCCTGTCAAACTGCGCTGTTTAAGAACCAAACATCAGTTCTACTGTTATTATTTTAACACCTCAAACTACTTGTGCAGTACATGAGAGAATGCGTTCTTGGTAATTTCAGAAGAAGGTTGCTTGGTGTTCTGAAAACTGATAATGATCTTCAACGGCCTTCTGTTCTGGAATCACTGATTCGGAGACATGTTAGCATTGTGCATCTTGCAGAGCAGCACATCAGCATGGACATTACTCAGGGTATTCGTGAAGTTTTGCTTTTAGAAGCCTTTTCAGGACCAGTTTCTTCTCTGCACTTGTTTGAGAAGCCAACAGACCAACATACAGGATCGGCCACCGAATCTGTGTGCAATTGGTATATTGAAAATATAATCAAGGATGTATCCGGTGCTGGGATATTGTTTGTTCCAATTCATAAATGCTTTAGGAGTACAAGGCCTGTTGGTGGATACTTTGCAGAATCAGTCACAGATCTAAGTGAACTGCAGGCTTTTGTACGTATTTTTGGTGGCTATGGAGTAGACAGGCTAGACAGAATGCTTAAAGAGCACACTGCTGCACTTTTGAATTGCATTGACACCTCATTGCGATCAAATCGTGATGTGCTAGAAGCAGTTGCTTCTAGTCTTCATGCTGGTGATAGAATTGAAAGAGAAGCTTCTATGAAGCAAATAGTTGATCTGGAAACTGTGATAGGTTTTTGTATTCAGGCTGGTCTGGCCCTAGCTTTTGATAAGCTACTATCTGAGGCTTCTGGTGCCATACTTGAAGAAGGCGCCCCCTTGATACATTCACTGCTAACCGGGGTGGTTAAACATCTACCTGATGGAGTACCAGAAAAGGAAGAGATCAGGAGAATGAGAACAGTGGCAAATACTGCAGGTGTTGTAAGTGACCATGATTCCATTTGGGTAAGATCAATTTTAGAGGATGTTGGTGGTGCAAGTGATGGTTCATGGAGCTTGTTACCCTACTTATTTGCAACATTCATGACATCTAATATATGGTCCACCACGGCATTTAATGTTGACACTGAGGGTTTTAGTAATAACATCCATTGCTTGGCAAGGTCAGTATAGTTATATTTTTTACTAAAATTCCCTATTCTTTGAACAGAATGGAGCTTAATACTTTAACAATGATTTGAAACTTGTTTTTGCATGCTTATAATTTGGCATGTCACTGGATTCACCACTATCTAGTATTATATGGGAGTTGGAAATAAATAATTTATGGAAAAAGCTAACATGTGCCCCAAGGGCACATGGGGCACATGTTAATAAGCTATTTGTAGAAATATTCTCTTGAAACGCGTTCATTCAATATTTTGAAACTTTAAATATGACTTTATTATATTTAATTACATTTAAATTATTCTAATTATAGTATCCTTAACATGGGCACATGTTAGCATGACCCATAATTTATTTATTAGTATTTTGATTCCATTGTGCAATAATATTTGGTATCATTTCTATCTCTAACCATGTAATACTGGGCAGATGCATTTCTGCAGTGATTGCTGGAAGTGAGTTTGTTAGATTGGAACGTGAACATCAGCATCGGCAGTCTTTAAACAATGGGCATGTCAGTGAGGAAATGGATCCTGAATTATCAAATCATATGTCAGCTGAAGCAAGCATCAATTCCACGCTGCAGTTATTTCTGAAACTCTCTGCAGAGATGATACTGGATTCTTGGAGTGAAACACATAGGTACCTGTATTCGATTTTGCTTGAATACTATTTATTTGAGGCAGAATTCACCTACAGTTCTGCATCAGTGCCCTGTTTTATCTGAATCACTAGTCTTTCATTTTGAAGTTTTCTAAGATATTTTATATTTTAATTTTATGCACAGATCTCATCTTGTGGCACAACTTATCTTCCTAGACCAACTTTGTGAGATTTCACCATACCTTCCACGAAGCTCGCTGGAAACTCATGTTCCTTATGCTATTCTCCGCTCAGTCTACAGTCAATACTATGCTGATAGTCCATCAACTCCATTGGCAATACTGAACGCATCACCCCGGCATTCACCTGCTATATCGCTAGGCCATGCTTCTCCTGTCACAAGGCATCCTCGCGGGGACTCCACCCCTCCGTATTATGGCCATGATTCAGGATACTTTAAAGGATCATCATCACACAGTCAAGAGCATATCTATGAGGCTGATATTAGCAGCTTAAGGAACACCCGTCGTTCTGGGCCATTGGATTATGGTGCAAGCCGTAATAAGGTTAGATCTGTTGAAGGCTCAGCTTCTGGTAGTAATGGACCCAGTCCACTTCCTAGATTTGCAGTATCTAGATCTGGTCCATTAGCATACAAGTAGTAAGTTGTTTGAAATACCCAATATAATCTGGTAAATTATTCACCTCTTTCTAGTAGTGATCAGTTGTCCATAACCATAAATCATTCACCAGGTTCCCACAAAATGTTCGAAATGTATATCACACTTGTAATCCCTAGATAGTTTAAATCAATGTCATATGACGTCCCTGTTGAGTTAATTAGATTTGTGTTTTCCTGTTTTTTTTCTTTCTCATTTACCCAAATCTAACATCTTGTTTCTGCAAGTCTCTCTGCGTCGAGTCCTTCTAGACCTTATTGTGCAACTTGTAATTTTATTTGCATGTAGACTAATCTATATATTATTTTTACAAAACTTTTAAAAAATAAATAAAAATACAAGAAAATGCACATTTCTAAATGCGTTCTCTTTTAAACTTTATTTTCCAAAACAGGTATAAAAACTTTATAATCATTTTAGCAATGCAAATATATTCTGTTTATAACAAAAAAAATGTCACTTCAGTAACAACTTTTTGAAATATGTTTGCGTGAACAACTTAATTAGCACTTATTTAAGTGTTGGTTGTATAAACTTTTTTTCCGGTGGATACAATATTGTTGTATGAGTAGTAATTCAATGCCATTTAGCACCACAATTTTGGTGTTCTATGTTCTCTTGTTTTAAGGAAGATATTCAAACCATTTTATATATATAATAAGAAGACCAATACGAGGGGGAAACTCAATGCCATTTAGCACCATAATTTTGGTGTTCTATTTTCTCTTGTTTTAAGGAAGAAATTCAAGCCATTTCATATATATAATAAGAAGACCAATACGAGGGGGAGGTGGGTGACAATACTTGGGGACTAGCTGAGAAACAGCTTCTCAGTCAACCAAAGTTCCTAATTCAGATGCATCCGTATATTGATAGATTCTATGCTACCTCCTACATGCCACCCCTAATTTTTTTAATTCCATTTTTATTTTTGGATGTGATGCATACTATCGGTACACCACTACAATTTTTTTGGTAGTGTATTTAAAATTTTCGTTGTATCAGAAATTTTAAATTAACTGAAATTTTTGGTAGTTATAAAAATATGATTTTTTAAACGGTTAAGATTTTGCCGACATATTTGAATGATTCTGATTGCACTGACACATTTGTGTGGTCTAGAATGCATCAACATTTATATAAATAGGGACATGTGTTATAGAGAAAATACATCTAAAAAAAGTCTATTCCTCAATTTCTGATTAAAACAGAAGTGTATTACAACGACAACAACCCTCCTGTTGAATTCAAGCTTCCAGATGACTCTGAATCCTTTGCCACCTTGAAAGAAACGTTGAATAATTTGTTGTCTGATTATGATAACAGAAGGGTGACAAAGGTAGAGTTTCAGGAGGATTGTAGGTGTTTAGTTATTGGCATGCATTTTTGGTAAAACCAGGTGTGTGAATGTCATGACTAATGTCATAACATTCTGATTTATTAGGTACTGGTTTATTAGGTACCTTTGCAGAAAAATAGTGGCATACAGGTACTGCTGTTTATGAATGTGTATCTGAGCATTTTGCAAAAAGATCACATTTATTGTCTTCTCAGTAAACAGGAATTCTGATGTCATAACAAATGTTAAGACATCCTGTACTGATCTAACAGTAGTGCAGTTTGGTTAATTCTGAGATTTTTCAAGAAGTTGGCTCATTCCTTCCAGAACAGAATCTCCCGTTGTCTTTGGGTTAACCTAGCTCAACCCTAAACTGGTTGATAAAGTCTTGTGACCAAGTCTTATGGTTAAACCTAATTAACCCTAGCTTTTTGTGGAAACCCTAACTGAAGAAACAGCTGCTATATATTCAACAGGTCTGCTGTTTGGAAAACAACTCTTGGACTGAAGATCAATTAGAAATTGTATAGTTTTAACTGCTGTAATCCAAGCAATTATCATTGTGATAAGTGACTTGGAATAGGTTTTGTTTGTAAGGGTTTTTGTACCACTCAAAGCTTTGAAGCAAGAGTGTTTTGTGTCTCTTGACTAAAGCTTTGAAGCAAAGTCAAGTTAGGTTTATGTATCACTCAAAGCTGTGAAGCAAGAGTGTTTGTGTTGCTTGATTAAAAAGCTGTGAAGTATAATCAAGTGTATGTTTTGAAGAGTATCTTCATTAATTCATTAGTCATTTGTTTTAAGTATCGCTGCTGTGATTGAGGGGGAGTGAGTAGGAACTCAGGTTTAAGTTGTACTTAGATTGAAGTTGCATTGGGTAGGTCTTAAGTGAAGGAGATAAACTGGTTGGTTTATTCCTGAATTAATATCTCTTATAGTGGATTTCCTCCCTGGCTTGGTAGCCCCCAGAGTAGGTGTTGTTGCACACTGAACTGGGTAAACAATTGACTGTGTTCTTTACTGTTTTTGTATTTACTGTCTTATAGAAAGTCAGATACGGTGTCATAACATTGAACGTGACATTGAGTATCTGCAGCCAGAATTTCAATTGGCATCAGAGCAGGCACCCTGCCTGTATTACTGGGTGAGATCTAGGGATATCACTTTCTGGCACTATGGACAAAGAAGGAGTTTTTGGAAACAGACCACCCATTCTGGATGGATCAAATTATGACTACTGGAAACCTCGTATGATTGCCTTCTTAAAATCACTGGACAAAAAGGCCTGGAGAGCTGCTGACAAAGGATGGAACCATCCCACCATAACTGAGAAAGATGGGACAATCAGTTTGAAGCCTGAGGAAGAATGGAGCAAAGAAGAAGATGAGTTAGCCCTGGGTAATTCCAAAGCTTTAAATGCCTTGTTCAATGGAATTGATAGAAATATATTCAGACTAGTACATCAATATGAACTGGCCAAGGAAGTTTGGGACACTCTCAAAACTATCCATGAGGGCACTTCCAAAGTAAAAATGTCAAGGCTTCAGATGTTGACTACCAAGTTTGAGAATCTAAAAATGATGGAAGATGAAACCATTCATGAGTTTCACATGAACATCTTGGAAATTGCCAACACCTCAGGAGCATTGGGAGAAAAGATGTCAGAAGAAAAATTGGTGAGAAAGATTCTCAGATCCTTGCCTAAAAGATTTGCAATGAAGGTAACTGCCATAGAGGAAGCCCAGGACATCAGCAAGTTGAAAGTGGATGAACTCATTGGGTCTCTTCAGACTTTTGAGATGGGGATCACTGAAAATGGTGACAAGAAGAACAAGAGCATAGCACTTGTATCCAACACTGATGTTGAAAACAAGGAGGATGAAGTAGAAAATATCTCAGAAGCTATAGCCATGCTTGGAAGACAATTCAACAAACTTATCAAAAGAATAGATCCAAAGTCAAGGTCTAATGTTCATAACATCCCCTCTGACATTGACAGTTCCAGCAGAAGACCAAGGTCAGAAGAGAAGGGAAATCAAGGCAGAGGAATTCAATGCCATGGTTGTGAAGGATATGGGCATATTCGAGCTGAATGTCCTACCTTTCTTAAGAAACAAAAGAAAGGAATGACTGTTACCTGGTCTGACTGTGATTCAGAAAGTAATTCTGAAGAAGAATCTGCCAAACTAGTTACTGCACTAACTGGTGTTTGTACCTCTGAAAGTGACACTAGTGATGAGGAAGTAACATTTGAAGAACTGGCTGATACTTACAAGAAATTGTGTATCAAAAGTACTGAAGTCTGTGTGCAAAATGAGAAACAATCAAAACTCATCATAAAGCTGGAGGCTGAAAAAAGGGAAGACCTTGAAACTATAAGTCATCTAGAAGGGGAAGTTCAAATGCTGAACTCAAAACTAAACCAGATGACCAAATCTGTCAAGATGCTGACAAATGGAACAGACAAATTGGAAGAAATCCTTCAGGTTGGACAAACTGTGGGAAACAAGTCTGGTCTAGGATTTGTGGCAGCAAAGAAATCAGGTGCAGACAAGAAGATCAGGTCTAATAAACAAATGTCAAAGCAGATGTCTCAACATAACTCTCAACATCAGGAACAGAGACATATGAAGAAAAGGTACCAAAGATGGAGATGTCATCATTGTGGGAGGTATGGCCACATAAAGCCTTTCTGCTTCAGATTGCATGGATACCCTAATCAGAACTCAGGTGTCAAACCTAAGTCTAAAAAGGTACCACATACTCCTAAATGGAAGAAAAAGGCTACTGCCCTGATAGCCCACACTTCCCTGAGGGTCTCTGCAAAGGAAGACTGGTACTTTGACAGTGGGTGTTCTAGGCACATGACTGGAATTAAGAACCTCCTCAATAATGTTAAACCTCACACCACTAGTTTTGTGACCTTTGGAGATGGTGCTAAAGGTGAAATCAAAGGAGTTGGTAATTTGGACTCCCCTGGAGTTCCAAACCTGAATGAAGTACTACTGGTAAAAGGCCTGACTGCTAATCTCATTAGTATCAGTCAATTGTGTGATCTAGGATTCAAGGTCAATTTTTCAAAATCTGAATGTCTTGTAATTAATGAAAAACAAGAAGTTGTAATGAAAGGAGTCAGATCTAAAGACAACTGTTACTTGTGGGAGCCTGAGAACACTAATTTCTCCACTGTGTGTTCCATTGCCAAAGAAGAAAAAGAGGTGAAACTGTGGCACCAGAAACTTGGCCATCTTCATCTAAGAGGAATGAAAAGGATTATCTCCATGGAGGCAGTCAGAGGGATTCCAAGATTGAAAATTGATGAAGGGAGAGTTTGTGGTGAATGTCAGGTTGGTAAGCAGACTAGGATGTCACATCCAAAGTCAAGACATCTGACCACCTCTAAGGTTCTAGAACTTCTTCATATGGATCTGATGGGACCAATGCAGGTGGAGAGTCTTGGTGGAAAAAGATATGCCTATGTTGTTGTGGATGATTTTTCCAGATTCACCTGGATTAACTTTATTAGGGAAAAATCTGATGTATTTGAAGTTTTTAAAGAATTGTGCAAAAGAATTCAAAGAGAAAAGGAAGGGTGTATTGTCAGAATCAGAAGTGATCATGGCAAGGAATTTGAAAACAGCAAGTT